AAAAAAAAAAAAAAAAGTTAACTGATTTTTGAATTTTGACTTTTTTCCCATACTATACTGAAATAAAATAATAAAATTCACTTTTTTTTTTTTCCTTCAGTGGCCCCAATCCTATTCCGTAAATTGGGTTTTTATCATATCTATTTTTTTTTTATAAATATTTTCTGTCTTCCATAAGTAATGTCTGTTAATGAAGTGGCTCATATATCTTTATTGCAGTGTGCCTTCAGGACAGCGTCCTGGCCTTCTGGAAGCATGGTATGCAGGGAAAGAGCTTCAAGTCCAATGAGGTAAATGTAATAGAACCTCTAAAGTTGGGTGTAGTTATGTAATAACCCTTACAGATGGTTAAAAGTATGTGTTGTTTGCTATTCCTTTTTCTTTCTTTTTTGTCCACAGCTTTTTTCCCCTTCCATTTTCTTCCCTCCCTGATTATTATACTTGGAACTTAAAACTATTATCGGTTAATGTTTCCTGCTGCTTAATTTTGGCTTGTTTACTGAAAAAAATGGACAAACATCCCTTTGTGTAACCAGGAGCCCTGAGGTCTTGTCCCTCTCTGCACAGAAACAAGCCGTCACTGATCCCTAGATGTTTGCTTTCAGGTGGAACCAGACAAAGTTTCTTTGTTTGGCCAAAGTAAAGAATTTGTTCTCCTTTCCACTGAGGGATTCAGTGTTAACCTGATCTTGAGTCAAGCAAAGCTGCACAATAAAAGTTCAAAAGATCACAGGGAGGTGAAGCGTTCCTTTATGAAAGGGGATACGGCTATAGAGGCCACCCATACGAACTCCGCCTGTGTCGGTCCTGGTCCTGGAGCAGTCGGCCGAAACAGAAAAGGTCTTTCCTAAGTGTGTGCCTGGCCCACCTCTGCAGTTCTCCCATAGCAAGGATGTTAAAAATGTCAGTCGCCATGTAAAATTCATGTTCAGTCATAAACGCAGCCTGTCACACAACAGGGAGCAGCACTAAATAATTCAGTCTTTGTCTCGTTATGATTCTTCTCATAAGACTTAAAGGGCGGGTCTTGCCTGGTGAACCATGCTGGTCTTGGGTGGATGCTCCTTTGAATAACCAAGACCTTGTAGCCATTTGAGACTAAAACAGATCAAGTCTCTCCCAAGGCCAAGAGTTTACACCTTGCAGGTGTCATCCGTCGACTATCTCACATCTGTCAGCAAGCGGGACTTTAGAAAGGCCTCGTTTGTTCCTCTGTCGTACCGAGCTGCACCTTACTGTTACAACAGGTTTGCACGGAAATATAAATGAACACGCCCATTCTTCTTTAAGAAACACTCTCCTTAATCTTTGAGCCAGCTTTGTTTTATTAATGATTCAATTTAAACCGTTAGGTTCCAAAATTGCATGATTTACAAATTAAAAATATATATTTTTTTTATTCGCTTTCTTGGCATCAGATCTGTTCAACAGCTTTAAATCTATCATAGATACGTTTTTGATATTTACAAAATGTTCTAATATGTTTGTGTCCCTTTGTGTTAAAAAAAAACGAAAGAAAATCCCTGAACCATTAGAAAGGGGGAAAAAATGCAATATTAACCAAAAATACTGATGTTTAAAAATTCCATGAAAAACTTATGATTAAATGTCAAGATTCTTTATGTATCAAAAATTAGTCGTTCTAATGGGAGTCATCACATCCTTACTAAAGGTAAAGTGTTTGCATAATGTTACATAAAGGATGAAGAAATTCAGAAATAATCAGTGGTGCGAAAAGTTCAAACATTTGTTACTTCAGTAGAAGTATAGATACTGCAGTTTAAAAACACTCTGGTAAAAGTTGAAGTATCAACTTGGCCTCTTCACTCAAGTAAAAGTGAAAAAGTATGCGCTCCAAAAACTACTTAAAGTATAAAAGTATTAAAGTAACCTTTAAAAAAAACAGCCAGATGCCGCTATATGAACTGAAAGCTCAAATTTACGATTATTTCTATAAATCCTCTGAGATAGGGCCGAGGATGAGGGAGGTCTGGTTGGTCTCCGTCTCCCGATACGCTCTCGCCTGTGTCCGACCTTTCAGACATTTCAGCATCTTTTTCTGAATCCCACATTGTAGCATGGCATAGACAATTCACGTGCTTCTGATGATTTCCTTTAGCTAACCAATGAGTGTTTACGTTCTATGACTCATCCAATCACACCAGTTTTCACTAGATGTGGGCGGAGCCAATGATCTGCATTGGATGGAGCACATGATGGGAAATAAAGATTTAGAAACATTAAACCAAAGCCAAGAGTAACGAGTAACGATTGTTTTAAAAATATAAGGAATAGAAAGTACAGATAGTTGTGTGAAAATGTAATGAGTAGAAGTCAGAAGAAAAATAAGTAATGGAGTAAAGTATGGATAACTAAAAAGTGTACTTAAGTACAGTAACAAAGTATTTGTACTTCATTACTTGACACCTCTGGAAATAAATAATAAAGCAAATCCTGAACGAGTTTTCGAGAATTAATCATAAAACTGACTGAAACATTGGGAATAAAAAAAACAAACAAATTAAGAATATTTTGAACATTTAGCTCACAGTGACTCCTCAAGGTTTAAACATGCTGCTTCTGATCCACTTCTTAGTTATAGGCTCAACTTTAACAGAAAATCATGAGACGGAAACGAGCAAAGTTGTTTTTTTTTTTGTCACCCAATGTGTGTAATATAAGCCAAGTTATAAGCCAAGTTAAAAAATCTGAATGAATTGTTGATATCTGCTTAAAAGTTACCAGTTGGAATGTTAAAATTCTCATTTATCTCATCTTGTTCATTTATTTATTATTTCTAATGTGTCTCTTTTACTGGATAAGATTTCCAATAAAAATCCTGTTTTTGTCTAATTTCCAGGTGACTCAGGAGATCTGTGACCCAAGCAGAGTTTTCCGCCTCCTGGGATCCGACAGGTTAGAACGTTTAATAACGGCTGTCCTCATGGTGCCTAAATGTTGCTTCAGATTTAAATTGAAAGAATTTAACCAAATCATTACCTCACTGAGTGGAGCTACTTTAGCAGCAGCTGATTTTCTTTTCTTTACTCATCTTTACTGTTTGGAGATTCTATTTGCCTCCATTGCTTCCTTTTGCTCAGTGTCTCTAGATGCTAACCTTATTTTCATGGGTTCCCATCACCCTGAAAAGGTTCTTCTTTATCTTCTGTGATTTAGCCTCTTTTCATATTGTTGGTCTTTCTTTCCATATATTCTCATTTTATCTGACGCTTTTGTTTTGTGTTCTTAGAGATTAATTAGACTAACCACTTACTAAATATTTATTACACATTAGAAACTGATGTGATGTGTTCTTAGGAGTCATTAAGAGAAACTAAACAAACAAAAACTCTAAAATCCTTTTAGCTGCTGCAAGGATGGATGGATGGTTGCGAAGTGAGCATGAAATGAGTTCGGATTGGAATAGATTGGTTATGTCTGACAGCTGGGTTTGAATGCAGTCGATGTTTCTGGATCTGTTGACCTTTGTTCAGCTATCAGAATATCTCTACCTGCTGCAGCCGAAGCCCCAAGAACAATCACCTTAATCCTGTTATCAGACAATAGCTGTTGATAAACAGATTAAATAATCTGCTGCGCGTCGGTTCAGTCTGTAAATAATTCTTTCATATATGGTAAGAGTCTAGAAGGGATCTTAAAGGATGGCGCTTTAGTTTGTACCCCTGAGTACAGGATAAAGGTGGAGCTCTGAGGAGTGGCGGGGAGTGACCGGTGGTGCCCGTTCTGTCCGCTGCCCAGCCCTCCATGTTTTATTCACCGAAGCATGGGCACTGCCAGCCTGGGTTCTGTGTCTGCACGGCTCTGTAATTTCATCTAATGGAACGGACAGTATAGACTGCTCTCCTGTCACCATGAGACAGATTGTATCTGAAGACGCAGTGACCCCCGTCCTGATCTGACATCATACTGTTGCTTAACATGCATGAATGTTGTCTGCACACTGACTGAGCGATCCACTCAGCATGTCCTGCATGTCAGGATGGCACAGAAGGTCACCGATCAGGAAGTTTATGAACAGTGCAGCCAGATTATGGATTTTCTTTTATTATTTGACATGTTTTCTTTTTCTAGGTTAATTTAAAAAGACAACTAATTGTATTAAGTGATCTGATAAGTTTTAGTTCCTTTAAAGTATCCTGTACGTCTGCTGATTATCTTCAGACGGTTGAAATACTACAAATATATAATTCCTTTGAAGAGAAGCAAGTGGAGGGAGGGGATAAAGAACCAACTTAAAGAGCCTTTCATTTCTACAAAATAGTGGTTTTAATACCAGTATACTTTTTTTTTTTAAAGTCAGCCAACAATATGATCAGTTTGATTCATAACATATTAGTAGGGATCCACTAATTTCAACTCAATGACTGATTTAGTAAATCCTTCACCTCCTGATACAATTTCTTCTTTAAATCAATTTAAAAAGAGAGAAGTGATAAAAGTACAGCACTGAAAGCATCATAATGAAAATATGCTAACCTCTCTGCCCTCATTGGACGTTAACTGTTTATATTAGAGCTAAAATAGCATCAAACTTAGATCAGTAGAAAACAGGTTTGTGAATTTAAGATTTCCAAAATCCTAATAAAGACTCAAATCTCCTCAAACCTTGGATTGCAGTGGTTGGTTGTTCATGAGTATCACTGTGTTCCTGTTGGTATCACAGCCTGAACAAACTGCAGCCACTTAATATTTGGGAGAAAATAGTTTTTTTTTTCAAAAAGCTCCTTAAATAAAACCCACAGAAAAGCTGGAATGATGGAGTCACTGAGTAACTGCACCCACACTGAAGAGTGTTGTCTGTCTGTCTGTCCTGGCTCTCTGATGTTCGTTCTACTTTCTGCTTTATTCTCACCATCAAAGTCATATTTTTGAACCGGTACCATAAAGATTTTATTGAGACGCGACAAACGCCGGCAGAGCATAGATTAACCTTTATGACTGAGTTCCTCGCAGCATCGCGCCCGTTTAACGTCCTCTGTGCTTCTTCCTGTGTCTCCTCCAGGGTTGTCGTTCTGGAGAGCCGACCAACAGACAACCCGACGGCTTTGAGCAACCTTTACATTTTAGCCGGCCATGAGAACAGTTACTGATCCTCAGAAGCTCAACGGCTTCTTCTTGGAGAAGGAAAGAAGATTCCACAGTTTTTGGGAGTTTTAGACCTACGTCTGAACTTTGTAAAGGGAAACAATTACTGGGAGCTTATATGGATTAAAACGGATCCACCGGTCAGTATACCAGGAGCTTCTTCAGTGCGGATCCATTAGTAGCCTTACAACAGCAGGATGTTCAGCGTAGCACAACTTAACACAAGAAACAGGGAAACCGGCGGGAGCTGGAAGTGGAGAAACAAATGTTACAGAGTACCTTACCGCTTTCTCTCTTCTCTGTACTGTGAACAAACTGTCTACAGGTATTATTGACTAAAGTGCCATTAAAATTCACACCCATGGTGATTGTATTAGAAGCATTGGGAGATCAAATAGTTTTTGTGGTTTTAACACGTCACACATAATCCTTAATAGTGACAGATACCAAAAGGCTCAAGAGAAAATATTACACACTTTGTAGCCAAAAGTCGATAGGTTGGTTTTTAAGGAAACCCTTGAGCCTTGTAGGTTATTTAAGCAATATTTATTAACCTCATCTTTAGTTCATTGGGAATGTTGGGTTTCCAGACGGTCAGAGTTTTACGCTGCATCAGGATTAACTACCTAGTGAACAGTCCCTGATTAGCTGTGGGATATTTTTATCGACGTGTGATATAGTTGCATCTCCTGCTCTGTCGCATTTTTTAGTACTTGGATAAAATGTATGTTTTTTTTTTTTTTTCTTCACTCTTTTCTTTTATAGTCGTTTTACTACTCTTGCACCATTTAAGCACTTTTGTACATTATTTTTATTTAAAATAAAATGACAGGGGGACAGTGCTAGGTTTTAATAACATCTCTGCATTCCCTTCGCAAAATGTTTAATATGTACTTTTTGTAATAAAAAAGCTTTTAACATGATAAAGCAGGCTGTCTGTTTGTTTGGGCGGGAGGTGGGAGTCGCATAAAAGCTGAAGATCCTTTGGGAAATGAGAAAATAGGTGTTTGTTTACATGATTTCCCCCTTCAGGCTGCCTCATCTTTGGCTTCACTAATTGGTCCCAGTGTGATTGAACTGCAGCCTGGTGTCACCAGTTGGATGACGTCAAATATCACCTTAGAAGTTAATCTCATAATTTGTCAAAGGATAAATGTAGCTGGGAATTTTTGGTTAGATCGGAAAATGGACATGGGGATCCATTTCCCTTCTCAATAGGTTGAGTCGACTGTTTCTATAGAAACTAAGCTTGAAAAGCCATAAATGTGTCAAGTTACCAACAAAAGTGTGAATCATAAAGCAGATGGGACCTTCAAAATAAAAGCAAAGTGGGACGTTTGGCAAAAGTGAGACAGCAGTAAAAATGACTGTGGTGACCTTTATCTCTTGTTAAAATCTGTATTTAGTAAATATTGCTGCAAAAAAATGCTATTGATATTGTGATAGAATTTAGGTAACAGGTTATAGCTGTTTATAGATAAAAGAAACGTGGACATAAACATAAAAGAAAAGTTTAAATTGTGGTTTTAAATGCATTTTTTCATTTTTAGCACAAAGCAGAAAACATTTAATGTAGTTAAATTTGGTAGAAGTCTAAATTGTCATGAACATTAAATCTTTACAAAAAGTCAAAGGAGCTCATATGTACGGAAGAGGATTAGGGCCACTGAAAAAAAAATGTGAAAAACAGATTTTTTTATTTCAGTATAGTATGGGAAAAAAGTCAGAATTCTGACTTTAATCTCAGAATTCTGAGATTAAATTCAGAATTCTGAC